AAAATGATAGTAATAATAGCTAATAGTGCTAGAACTCATTTTCTCAAAATCATTGATAATGTTCTAGTAAATATTAGAAAAATTAAAGTATCTATATCTTTTCAATACTCGAATCTAGAGATAAAATCCCTATACTTAATAATGATTGGCTTAAAATAACTAATGCTACTATGAGATGAAAACAATCAATCTTTACTATAAAACGAGATGGAATTACTATGAAAATTCCTATTACCTTCACTAAAACAGTCAAAATCATAACTCAAGAAGCTGAAAATAAATATGTAAGTAAAAAGTATGAAAATAAATATTTGAAAGAATATTCTATCTACTTATCTGATGATGTTAAATTTGAAGAATCAAAATTAGATGATGAACTAGGATTTAATCTCTGGTCTGATCATTACTTTCCTGTTCAATCAGAAGAAGATACTGATAACAATAATGAATTAGATAAACAAGTAGATAATAATCCAGCTGCTTACCTTACTGAAATTGCTAGATACTTAGCTGAAACTGAACCAACTCATCTGGAATAACTAGGACCTCTAGACTACCATTAATAGCAAACATTTCTCAACCTTTTGGGAGATTATTATAACATTTATACAAGAAGCCAAATAGAAATAGAACAAATAACAGAAATTAAACATCTCATCTATATAAGAATAGTTATGCTAATTACCTAAAAACCATATCAAATAAATCCTAAAAATACTAGATTTTTGAATAAAGAACTGAAGAAAATAGAAGCAAATGATATAATTTGATCTTCTTACAGTTTATGGATCTCATCTGTAGTAATTTAGAAAAGAAAGAAGGAGAAAAGAGATTATATATTGACTATTGAAAAGTAAATGCTGTCACAAAAATCAATGCATATCTATTAACAAGAATTGATAACTTATTAGACTCATTAGTAGAGCAAATTAGTTTATTACTCTTGATTTAGTTAGTGATTACTGGCAAGTAGCAATACATCCTGATGATATTGAGAAAACTGCATTTATCATAGCAAATAAACTATATGAATTTTTAGTTATGCCCTTTAGATTAAATAATGCACCTAAAATATTTTAAAGACTGATGAATTAGGTTCTTAAAGATTTTCTTAGGCTATTCATATCAGTTTATCTAGATGATGTAATCATTTATATAAAAGGACTTTTTGAATTATATGTTAACTATATTAAACAAGTATTTTAAGCTTTTAGAGATACTTATCTTGTGATAAAATTGAAGAAATGCTACTTTTATTAACCTTCTTTAACATTCTTAAGACATATTGTAAGATAAGGAGGAATTCAATCTGACTCAGAAAAGATCAAGAAAATTAAAGAATTTTCAGAATCAAAAAATTTAATTCAACTATGTGCTGCCTTAGGATTATTTAGATATTATCAAAAATTTATTAAAGATTTTGTATGATATGTTAAATCATTGATCCTGCTGTTAAAGAAAGATCAACCATTTGAATGAAAAGAGAAATAACAATATATCTTTAATTAATTAAAGAAAAGACTTATTAAGGTACTAATATTACAATATCTAAATTTTGATGTACCTTCACCCTGTATACTGATGTCTCAAAGAAAGGATTTTGTTATTGTTATAAAATATTCTGCTGTGTATTATGTTAACATTATTGCAATTGTATTGTTGAAAGATAATTTTTTTCGATAGTTATAGTATCTGAGACACTAGGAATCTTAATAGCAATTATATACATATTAAGACTACTAGATAGCTTAATGCTAATCTTCAGATACTTGAGATCATGATTAGACATTGCTAATCAGAATCTGCTTATTTAATATTAGTTTAAGGTTTACTATTTAGATGACACCCTCAAGAGCAAACCTCAGGGTTTCTAAACCCCAGAACTACTGTCAAATTTGGATAAAGAAACCACTTTTAGCTATAGGTACTTATGTCATTTTTTCCTGTGCTTACCAATACTATATTTGGATCACTATTACTTCTGCCAGTATCAGGATATTTTTACACATAATCAGAAAGGCTTAAATGTTATTATTCTTATAGAATCTTAGAAAGAATAGGTGGCTGTCGTACCTATATTATCAAATTCACCTAAAAATTGAACCTAATCTCTAATTCTAGTGATAGCTCGATTGGATAGTGTTGCAGCAATATAATGTAGTCTATTATTATTATAACCACCTGAAGGTAGTATCCAATCTATTAATTACTGGTTAACCACTTCTTTACTTTTATAAGAACCCTGAATTTTAAAACGTAGGATAGTATTTATTACAAATCTATCAGCAAAGACTAAGTTTTTGTCAGTTTCTAGCTTTAAATGCATCCACATGTTCTTAAAAACCCAGTATTTAGGTATGATCAATATTGATTAACAGATTGATTGACTAGTTTCTAACATATATTAGTATATATGTCCACATATTCAGTTACATATAAAATTCTTAAGAAAATCATCTAGTTTTATGTCTCAGCTGAGACCTGAACCTGTAGCTATTGCAGTGTAACTCACAATTGGAGTTCAGTTATTATCAACTGAACTAGGATTATCAATCCTTTTATTGTTAAAGATGATAATATTATTCTATTATTTATGGCAAATTTTGTATCATAGTGAGTTATGGTACTTGAAGATCTATTAGTAATACAGCATGTTATTTATATAGTAACTCAAAAGATTCATGCTTAGTTGTTTTCTGTTATGCTATGTGATATACAAATAAAGCTAATGGGAGATAGACATTCCATTCTCCTTAATATTACTCAGCATTCTTAGCCAAAATAGTACACAAAATTCAATTAAAACATTTAATTAATCTATTTGTTTATGAGTGATAAGATGAAGAAAGACAATATTTTGTTCTAATAATATGTAATAATACTATTATTAATTCATTTTAGAATGATGTAGCTCTATCAATTAATATTTCTTTTAAGATCTCATATCTACATATGATTTCTTGGAAAATAAATTATGCTATAGTTGTGCAGTACAGTCAGATCAAATATAGTAGCAGCTTTAGCCTATTTGATGAGATATTCAGTGACAACAATAATGTACTTATTGCCTTATTTTATTTATGATAGTAGTCTTACATAATCAATTTTAATTCAGTCAAAGGGTTTTCTAACTGAAATTAGATGAAGGCCTTGTCATTGAAGTGTTCTTTATTATTAGCATACATTACATGTTTTTACCTATTCCTTTACTGTGTTATACATTTTTGACTAATAATATTTGTATACTAATTTGTTGAATATTATGTTATATCCTAAGTGTTCTTCTAGAGGTTCATTATGAATATTATATAAAAGAGATTCAACTTCAGTTGATTTAATAATAAGAAGAGAGTTCAAGAGATTTCAAGAGTTTTGTCAGTAAAGAAGGTAATTATAAATAGTATAATGTTTAGCTTATTTTTGAATAGAAAGTTATTTTGTAGGTGTAGATAATTCAGATATTTTGATTGAGTTAAGTATTGATAGAGGTTTTAATATAATTCTATGTCTATTTTTAAATATTAAAATATTAGTCATACTGCTAACGCTTTCCTTTCATTCTAATTTAATTATAATTTGATGTTTTTTGATTAATAGAAAAGCAAACTAAAAAGAGTATCAGCGTTTTGATATATTTTACCTTTACAGTAATAAATATTATAAGGAAATTACATAATTTGTACGATCTATTTCATAAATTTATAGGGTAAGTCAGGTTTATTAAATAACCGTTGTAATACAGCTTGGTCAGTAATTAAATCAAATGGTTAATGAAAGAGATATATTCTAAAATATTTAGTAAGTGCATAGTTTCTTTCAGCATTATTAAGAGTTTGACTAGCATATGTGATTATATGTTTCTTTTGTTGATTATCTAATTAAGTTAAAACAGCACCTAATCCCATATATGATCTGTCAGTAAATAACAGAAACTTCATAGAGAAGTTCAGATAAATAAAAATAGGGGTTGTAATTAAATATTTTTTTAAATATTTGAATTCCTGCTATTAAGTTTCAGTCCATTTATATAGTATTTTCTTTTTAAGTAAGTGATGTAAAAATGTAATAATAGTTGAGAAATTTTGTATAAATCAACAATAGTACGAAGCAAGTCTTAAGAATTCATGAAGTTCAGTGATATTGAAAGATATTAGAAAGTCTCTAATCTTTTTAATTTTAGAAGGATCTGAAGCAATTCCTTATTTATTTACAAGGTATCCTAAAAAAGTAAGTTTATGCTTTCAAAATTCACATTTATCTCATATCAGTTTCAATTCAACTTTTCTTAGTTATTAAAAAAGGTTTTTAAGATAAGCGAGATGTTCTTCAAAAGTTGTTAAAAAAATAATTATATTATCTAAATACAGTCAACTCTTGATATAGTGAACTCTTGATATAACGAATTTTTTGAACAAATATAATAAAAATACTCTTGTTATAGCGAATTGGCCAATCAAATCTCTTAAAATCTTCACTATAGTCTTATAGTGAAGTTGAAATCTAAGACATAGAGTTTGATATAACAAGAGTTGACTGTAGTAAGAAATAAGTAAATTGATTATAATTTTAGAAGATTTTACTAGAGCAACTGAAATTTTAGGTAGAAAGAAATATATAACTATTAGTTTAATATACAGTATATTAGCAGTAATTAATCAAAAATTAATACCAGATGATAATTCTGATGTTGAGATTATAGATTTAACAAGTCTGAACATAATCTTTGATGATGATGTTAGTTATGAAGATGTATTAGAAGATGAACTAATTACTGAATGACCAAACGTAGAAAAATTAATATTAATATCCTACAAGACTGCAATAATCTTACAAATCATATTAAAATGGCATTATATAAATCAATGAATCATTATTGGGAAGTTCCATAAGAAAAAGAAACATTGGCTACTTTGTTAGATCCAAGATTCAAGGATTTAAAGTTTGCTTCTGAATCATTGTGCATTAGAACTTATGAACAGTTAAAAAATGCATATCAAAATATGAGAAACTTAACTAATGAAGATCAAGAAGTTGAATTTAGAGCAGTTTTATCAAATTCATTATTAGCAAGAATGTTTCAAGATAATATTAATTATGCTGATGAAGTAGCTAATTATCTGGCTTTACCTAATATTCATCCTAACGATTGTCCTTTATTATAGTGGAAAACTAATAATACTAAGTTTCCAATATTATCAAAATTAGCAAGAAAATATTTAGTGATTCCTGCTACCTCAACTCCAAGTGAAAGGCTTTTTAGTGAAGCTGGTAATATAATGACCATAAAAAGAACATAATTAGCATCAAATATATTGAAAAATTTGGTTTGTTGTAAAAAAAATTGGCATTTAACTGGAGGGATTTTTTCATTAAATAAGAAATAATTAAATAATGTATATGTACTGCCGAAAATTAACAAATTAATAAAATTATTATAAAAAAGCATTTGCCTTTATCAAAATTCTTAAGTTTTAATGTATTGATAAAAATAAATAATATTTTATTAATTTTTTCTTTTGTATCTGTATATCCAGATTAGACCACTAATGAATTTATTACAGATTTATCCTTTATCTGGATTTCTTACGAATAGCAATCCAAATTCATGATGGAAGTCACAGATTATCTGTTTGCAGATAAACAGATATTCAAATCAGACCACTAGTCCAAATAACCCATAGCCTTATCCAATTTATATATGAATATAAGGACACTACAGAAATTTTCTAAATTTTCACACAAATGTTTCAAAGATAATATTATCTCTCTCAAATAGTTTAATCTTCATGAAAAATTTCTAAAAATTGCTCATGATTGTTCTCTATGCATTGTCTCAATAGGATCCTTTTCTAATAATGTTTATATTAGATCAGTTATACTTAACATACAATTGTTAATAGCTTCTTTACAAATGAAGATTAAACTCAAAGAACATGATTTCAAGCTTTCTAGTATACAATAAGCCCTACAGGATAGAATTGATGATTACAAATCTGATCTAAGAAAGATTATAGATTCTATCTTAAATAAAAAAAGAAAACTCATTATCTTAGATAGATGTCTCGATAACATAAGTTTTTCACTTGATCTATTCACAGATGAAACAGATATTTGCAGAGAAGTTACCTACTGCTTTTAACAAGTAACTGGTACAATTCATGAAGATAAAGCTATCTCAGATAAATAGACATCAGCCTATCAACCTATATCTGATATTGATTTATTGATTTATAATCATCTTACTTCATTGTTGACAGTGAACAAATGATATAGAGTCATTAATCAACTTTTATGAAATATTCAAACATCTCAGCCCTATAGAAAAAAAGTTTCTTGGTATATTATTTGTAGATATCTTCAGATATCCTCGATTCCATCAAGATAGACTATGGCTTATGTATACCTGATTCCAAAACCAAAACTATGGTAATTTGATCTAAATAACACTAGACTTATAACATTATTAGAATGCTCGAGAAAAGCTTTCACAAAACTTTTGAACGCCTGATTGGCTTCTCCTTTTACCAAATATAATATACTAAAAGGATTCAACTTTGCTGAACTTCTAATTGATGTTTAATCCTATTCATATAATTAATCATGTCAAACAAGATGCTTTATTTAACAACTAAAAATTTTGAGTACTACTTCAAGATATATCTAAAACTTATGATTATATTAATGTCTTTACACTAGTAAAAGCCTTCGAATGCCTCAAAATTCTGTACTCATTCATCCAAATCATCATTAGGATTTTTATACTCTGTTTTAACCAAGTTTCATGACACATGAAAATACTTATACATATTTAGTTTATTCAGGAATCAATTAAGAAGAAGTAATTTTACCACTTTTGTGATGCATCTATTATGACCCGCTTCTATGTAAAATTAACGACTCTCCATATAGTTATAACATGAATATGCAATAGTGTCCTGATGTTCATTCCACCCAAACTACATCTTGTCAATGTAAAATTCCTACTTTAGCATTTATGGATGACATTTTGTGGGTGGCTAAATCCAGAGAGGATTTATCATAGATTACTTCAATTGCTAATAGTTTTTTTAACTTCAATGATATCCAAGTTAATTGGTTAAAATTAGAACTATTAGTTAATACTTATCAATCACAACCTTTTATTATTCAACGTAATCAACAACATTGTGAACTAATCCCTCATCACCCAAATGATAGCATTAGATACCTAGATATATGAATATCTTTATAACCTAATAACAACTTTATTATGAAACAACTGCACACTAAAATTAAAAATGCTGTTACTATTATGAAAAATAAAAGGTTGACTGATTTACAAATAATATATATATTCAATACAGTAATCCTCTCATGAATTGAATATAGATCTCAACTCACACTCCCATCGAAAGCTTAATGCAAAATATTAATAGCCACATTTATTGCATTCTTAAAAAGAAAGCTAACATTCTCACGAGTTACACCTTCTGATCTGTTTAACTTACATTACTTCTACAATATCATCCTATTACAATAATGACTTCTTTAATATTTCAGTTCAGCGCTCTTACAAATGATCAATGAAACTGGTATTTTAGGACTTATTTTTCTTATAAGAATCAATTAACTACAAATTAAAAAATGGTTGCACAAAAGCCTCTTGATATTTTGGCCTTACGATATGACATAGAAAAATGATGATTGGCTTCTATCTACCCTATATAATATAAAATAGTTGAATATATCCTTGAATGTCCTTCTTATATTTCACTAAAATATAGCAGGCGGTATACATACTATCAATGAAATTATTTTAACTAATTATAGAGCTTTCATTAGAGACTTTCATTAATGCTCAGTTCTCTATGTAGAATAATTATTTAACTGTCATAATAGCTATATGTTAACGTACAGTGACCTCTATACTATTACTAACTCTAAAAAAAGACTTTACACAACACCCAATTAGTTCACAATTATTAAAAACCTACTGTCAATCGATGAGCATAAAATGCTTTCACTAACGAATAGTTTTAAACATAACCATTGTTACAGTTATATTACTTGACCACTCAAATCTAAAATTGGAACCTACAACTACATTATTAGATAGGATAACGTCACTAAATTATTCATCACAGGTTGTCCTACTCACATTGATGACAACTTTGTATATATCAAATACTGCTTACTATTAGTAGGCTCTCATTATTATATGGTATTCAAAGATTGTGATCATTACTCAATACATCAAGAAGATGCAAAGAAATTAGAATCTGGTTTTTATAAGTATTTTCTTACACTACCTCACAGTCTTTATATCTCAATTCTAATTAAATTCAAGGATAAATACGTGGATGTCCTTCATACAGTTCTTTTAATTAGAGCTCTACATAAACTTGCGCTTACTAGATTTTTTGCTCATTTTAATCCTGCATTTGTAGTCACTCCTCAACCTTTTGTTTCATGATTACTCATTAATTTACTGGATAAATATATTTCTCCACCTTTCAATACTCAATTACAGAATTTTACTCAACAATTTATTAACTCCACTACTTTAGAATTTTATACAGATGGTTCCTTTCGAGACCTTAGCACTTCGTCTATTAAAATGAGCTTAGCATAGTTATAAACCAGTGATGGGAAATTGGACAATTTGATATTTTGGACAATTGTCCAAAACTGTGTCCAAAATATGTCCAAAACCAAAACTTATTTTAATTGGACAAGTTTTGGACAATTATTTATGTAATGATCAAATCCAATAAATATCATTTTTGATACATTAAATATAAAAATTTTATTAAATCGTTGTTAAAGTGTCTTCAAAATTGCATCTGGAAGTTATTTACACTTTTGAAATATGGAATCTCAAGAAATTATAAAAAAAATAAATATTCTATTAAGAATAAATAAATACAATTATCGAAAATCAGGGATACTATAAAGCATTACACGTAAAAAGGGTAATGATTATCCTAAAAAAATCACTTCCAGAAAATCTAAAGAAAGGGTAGAAAATGTTAATAATTTGTTTAATTCAAAAAAAGAGCTCAACAATCTCTTTTCCATTAATATAACTTATCTCTGATCCCATTGATGAGGTTTTTCGCATCGGTAGAAACTCTGGGCATTGCTGAACTAATAACATTTTCAAATTTCCATTCATCATCTTCAACATATAAGAGGTCGTGTTGATTAGTCGTGATACGTTGGAATTTTGAATTGTCATTCAGACTAAAACCGTATAATGGCTATTAATAAAAATTATAATGTAAGTAAATAGTTTTTAAATAGTCAAAATAAAAATAATCTTAATAACAACACTTACATCTACGTTATGAACACGTAAAGCATTATTGATATCTTCCCCGTAAGTCTGGTTCGTTTTGAATGACGCATGAATTTGTTCGCTTCCTGTTCGAAGCATATTTCTGTAATAGTTTAAGTTTATAATTTTTTGCAGAACACTTGGCGATTTGGAAAACGCAAACCACCTGTATTATCTCGTGGACTCTATATTCCACATCGTGTGCTAACGCGGCAGCTACCGTGTCTTTTAAGTTTGTAACTCCAACATCTCTCACAAAAATTATAACCTATTTTTTCCTGACAAACCTTACATTTTTCAAACAAGCTTACTATTTGTTGTTAATGGTTTGGGCATAGTCCCAGTTGGTTCGATTCCAACGAACAACCTAAAAAAAAAGAAAGGCGTTAGTGTTATTTTCTAATGCTATCAGAACCTTTAACACTACTTATCGACCGTTAAGTCCAAGAAGAACCATCTAAGAACGTCCAAGAGCGTCCAAAGGACCTAAATAAAAGAAGGCGTTAGAGTTGTTTGTTAACGTCATTAACATCACCTACTCATTCAAAGAAACTTACCGGTCAAGATTCGCCCAATAAGAATTGTCCAAGAACCGTCCAGGAACCGTCCAGAGCTGTCCAAGAAGCTTCCCTAAAAATAAAGAGGAACGTTAGTAATGTTCCTAAAACCATTATTAAAAAAAATTTTTTTTTTAAAAAATATCATTTACCTCAAAACAGCGCCTTAATGAACAAAGGTAAGTTCTTTTTTTTTTTTTGTTTTAGAATGATTATTACCGAAACTGATCGGAACTTATTCTCTTTTTTCCTCTATAAGACTGACTGATCGATCGATTCAAGATTTATTGGAATCTATAAAAGGTAAAAAATGTTTATTTATTTAATTAAAAAATTCATTAACGTCATCCCCCTTCGTAGGACTCAC